GAGGAAGAAGAGGAGGAGGAGGAGGAGGCGGTGGCCCGGCGGGGCAGGAAGAGGCGCTTGAAGCGGGAGGAATCGGGCAGGAGGAAGAGGGCCCCGAAGCACAGCGTGAGCAGGCCCGAGAGGAAGAGCAGGAACAGGAACTTCTGCGGCAGCCGCAGCCCCAGCGCCGCCGGCCAGCCCGGCATGCCCGGCAGCTTCCGCAGCAGCACCATGGGGCACCGGATCGCGGCCGCCGGGCGGGCTCCGCCGCCCCCCCGGGGGACGCCGCTGGCTTCTGCGGCGAAAGGCTCAGGGGTGCCCCCCCCGCACCACCGGCTGGAGCGGGCGCCTTCACCGGGGACCGCCGGCGGGTGACACGTGGATGGCTCCGGACCGGGCTACGCCGCGGGGCCCCGCCGCTGCCCGGGGTCCTTGCCCGAGAGGCTCGCAGGGCGCGGAGCGGCGGTTCAGAGTCCCCCCTTCCGGCATGAAGGCGGCGGCGAGCGCATCCCGCCGGAGCCGGGCGGCGGAGCGGCGGGGCTGGGCTGCTCCCGGCGTCCGTCCCCCGTGCAGGCTCCCCCGCCGGACGGCTGCTGGTCGGGCTGGCTCAGGGAGCGGTGCCGAGGAGGTGCGATCCCTTCTCTCTAGGCGGTGGGTTCATGCTGCAGCATTTCTGCGGGGAGGGGCGGGGGGGAAGATAAGAGTGCCTTCATTCAACACCAAGAAGGATGCAGCCGGCGTTATAAGCCTTTGTCCCGGAGGGTTCGGCCGCCTCCCCAGCCTTCCCCCCCCCCGCCCCGCTCCAGCCACACTAGTTCCTTTTCCCTCTCTCCGGACTTGCCATCAACTCTCTAGTCTGCGAGCAGCTCCCAGCTCTGCACCATCCCCTACACCTCCGGGCTGCCGGGCTCTTCTGGCGGGGCAGCCTTGGGGCCAAGAGGAGGATCCGCGCCCCGATGAGGAGCGAGGAAAAACCCGGGAGAAGCAGGGTGCCCAGGGATAGAGAGCAGACGACAGGGACGAGGCTGCTCCTCTCCTCACCAGGCTGCCAGGAGCTGCCTTCGCCCGCAGAGGGCTGGAGACGATGGGGCTGCAAACAAGCCAGGCGGAAAGCTCGGCTCGGGCTAAGTTTCTTGAGGCAAAAAAATCTACGGATTTTGGTTTTGCTACATAGATCCCGGCAAATTCCCCCTTTCTCCCAAATCTCTGCCTCGCTGTTAAGAGTTACCCATTGACCCCACCAATCCCCTCCTTACGTGCGCTGTAAGAGACAGAGCTCAACTTTCAGACCACGAAAAAAAAGCAGGATCACTTTCAAGAAGCAGGACGCGTTTTAAAGATCTACCTCCAAGCCCCATATCATCCCTACTCCTACGGGCAGGAACGGCGCTGCCCCCCAAACACGCCGTCAAACCCGCTGGGCGGACGCTTTCCTACCCCCAGCCCTGTTTACTCACCCCTCTGACAAATCCAAGCCACTCTGGGTCCTACAGTGAGCAAAATCTTCTCAGTCCTGCCCACGCATCTCAAATGCGAGAACCCCTCGCTGCTGTCAGCGCTCACAAGTGCCCGTTAAATTAGGAGGAGGAAGAGGCTGGCTGCCTGCCGGGCTCTCCAGGGAGCAGCTCCTCTCTCCTGCCCATCCAAGCACTCAGGAGGGAAGCACCTAACTGCACCAAGCTACTCAGAGGCCTCTGTTTTTCACCTCCTCCCCTCCCCGCCCCGCCTTCCTCCCCGCCGAAGGGGACCCGCCGGGCTGCGCTGCCCGGTGCCCGCACAC